GGCGACAGCGGGGCCACGAAGGGCATGCACATGGGGCCACAACGGGCGCAACTCCTGGGTGCCTGGGTGTCGGGAGCGCGGCGCTTGGGCAAATTGCAGGAAATTCCAACGCAAGGCCATTCTTCCGTAAGCTGCAAGCAAGTCTCCAGCGAGAGCGCGACTCCAGAGCGCCAGGAGAGCGATTCCTGAATAAATTGCAAGGAAGTCCGAAGCGAGAGCGCGATTCCTGAATACAATGCGAGGAAGTCTCGGGCGGGAGCAGGGGTCCTGGCTAAATTGTAAGTAAGTCTCAGGCGGGAGCCGTTGTTGTTGTAATCAGGGGGCCAAGGGCCCAGTTTGAGCAGGAAGATTTTCCATATCAAACAACAGGGTGCGAGCGTCGAGGGGCACACTTTGATGGAGAAAAAACAGTATGAACCGGTGGGGGGATCAACAATACTTATTCTTCATAAGTGGGATTTCAGCAACAACAACAACATCCGCAGCCATTTTGGTTCAAGTTCGAACCACTTCCGGCGCCCATCGCGCCGCGCCGCGCCGCGTTGCTTGCTGCGCCGCTTGCTTCGATGCCGTTCACAAGGCTCGTCGCCGTGGTTCTGCTGCTCATCTTCCTGAGTCGGGGAGCGACCTCCGACGAGCCCTTGGCCGAGGCGTGCGAGGCCACAGGCGAGAGCGAACACGCCGCGCTTGCGCAGCTGAAGAAGCCCAAGGCTGGGCCAGAGAGGGCGGCGGCTATTCAGACGGCGACTCCCACCGCGCCGACGCCGCTGCTCGCCAGATCCAATGTGTGCCCTGAGAGGGGATGCGCCCAAGCATGCGAGGAGTCGCAGTGGCAGTATCCGCGTGACGTGAGTGTAAATTTCAAGTGCCGGAACAACGAGTGTTGGTGCTATGTGGCTAATCCTTTTTTTCTACAAATTCTAAAGGCTTACGCCACATCCGCCGACCCCTTGTTTTTACTACCCGGGCGGTTTGGAGCATTTGGGGCGCCACCTTTTACTTGAGTTCAAGGCTTGCCGGGAGGCCGGTGTTGGAGGTCGGCCTGCTCAGAGAACGAGGAGGTGCAGGGGGGGCAGGATGGGCGGTGGGGGAGGAGTGGGGGTGCGAGAGATGCGGCGAGGCCGTTCCGTGTCACGATATACTCCAAGGGCCTGGCCAGAGAGGCCCCCAGAGTCAGGAACGGCGCTTTCGCCCGAGATTTCCTCGCAATTCAATGGGGCTGCTGGGGGCCCTATTGCAACCAGAAGGGCTCCCGCTTCATGCGTTTTCGCAATTTATTCAAAGCCACCCTTGCCAGAGAGGCCCCGGCCCAGGGCTGGTTCAAATTCTGCGGGTGCCGGTGGCGATGCGCGGTATACGGCGAGCCCGCTCCGTGGAGACCTGTCGTTACTCCGCCCGGAGGGGTCGTTCCGTTGTACTACCGATGCTACCACCAGTACTACTACCACCACCACTATTTCTATTACTACTACTACTACTACTACTACTACTACCACTACTACTACTACTACTACTACTACTACTACTACTACTACTACTACTATCACTATCACTATTACTATTACTATTACTACTACTACTACTGCTACTACTACTACTACTACTACTATTATTGCTACTGCTACTGCTACTGCTACTGCTTGTGGTGCTGGTACTGCTACTGCTACTACTACTACTACTACTACTACTACTACTTCTACTACTACTACTATTACTACTACTACTACTACTACTACTACTACTACTACTACTACTACTACTACTAATTACTACTACTACTACTACTACTATTACTACTACTACTACCACTACTACTACTACTACTACTACTACTACTACTACTACTACTACTACTGTTACTACTACACATTTGGAGACTCTGTGCTCTCTTGGATCGTTTTGGGGGTGTCTCGGGGGCCTCGACAGGGCCGTCTTGGAGCAGATAATGGGCGTTTTGGGCTGTCGGAACCCTTTTGGGCTGTCTTGGAGGCTTCTTGGGAGCCTCTTGGGCCGACGTGGGGCGGTCTTGGGGGCCTCTTCGGATGGACTGTCGTCAGCGCCGTGACGGCCTAAAGATGTGCGTTTTCCCAATGGAAATTGACGATTTGGGCGTCGTGTGGGGCTTCCTGAGAGACCTCCTGGAGGCGTCTTGGGGTGTCTTGGCGGCTTTTTGGGCCATCCTGGGCCCATCCTGGGCGTGTTGGAGCAATCGTTCGGAGACTCTGTGCTCTCTTGGCCTCGACGGGCTGTCTTGGAGCTACACAGCGAGCTTGGGGAGCCAGGCCCCCCCCTGATGAGTTCGACGGTGGGTCGGGTCCGACGAGGGGGGGGTGGGGGGTAAAATTGCCCGTTTGGAGTCCCGGGGGGGGGGGGGGGGGGCTTATGGGGGGGGAACAGTCTCACGCGCCTAGAGACCCACAAGTGGTCGGCGGTTGGAAGCCGCCTGTTCCGAGCTGCGTGTGCTCATGACCAGCCTTCAGAACCGAGGGCGGGCCTCCAAAGTGAGCCGCTCGCCCTTCCGCATGGAGACCTGGTCAGCTCCCCGCCAGGCGTTTTTTCCGCAATCGGGGCAGCATGCGAGAACTTCTGAGAGTTACCGGTTAAACTCTCGCCCGTTTTGAAGACCTGGTCAGCTCCCCGCCAGGCGTTTTTTCCGCAATCGGGGAAGCATGCGAGACCTTCTGAGACTGGACTGGACTGGAAAAGCCCGCGCCTAGACGGCGCATCGGCAAAATATGCGGCATTCATGAATATGCGTGCATGTTAGGCGGCGTGCACGAACATGCAGACTAACAGCTGCACAGTGCCTCGGTGAAATCGTTGCCTCCTTTGTGCCAGCGAAGTGCGAGGGAAACCTGCGCAGCATTCCGGGTGAGGGGCGGGGGGGGGGAAGGAGGAAGGGAGGGGGGGCAAGGAAAAGGCACAATGGCAAATCTATTCATAATGTCTGCGTGTATTGATCGATTGCTGCGCCCCACTGCCCGGGCTGCAACAAATCCCGCAAACGTTCCGGACGTTTCCCCGCTGCGTTCAGAGCCCAGGCGTGCATGTAAGTTGTCCATTGTCATCGTGGTCGTCCTCTTTTGCGAAGGATGTCTTTCCACTTCCAGGGGGCGAGCTCAAGCGGCGAGCGCGGGCCCCTGCTCAATTTACTCGAGTACCATTGTCTTTGGAAATGCCGTCGAAGGAGACCTCGCCACCTTACTGTAGTACTTCAATTGCCGCTGCAATAGAACAATTGATAGCTTTTGTGCTTGTGCTGTCGCTCGCCCCTGAACATTGCTGACTCGAGAGACAAACGCTGGCGGGATCTTGTAGATTATCCGGAGACACCTCGCCTGGAAGCCGTCGAGTCGATCCAGATCACGTGATAGTAAGAGACATGATTCCACACCATACAGTAGTTTTGAAATTACGCATGCTTCCAATGTTCGTGTTGTCTTCTGTCGGCTCACACTCATACAGTGCAGATATGTTGTAAGGCACCTTTCGCTTCTCCGAGTCGCCTTGTACGTTCAGTGAGTGGGTTCCCATCGGAACTAAGATGTCCCCCCCAAATAACTTGCATGTTTTTTGCTTTGGATTTCTTCGCCTCCAGGCCCGAATATGGGAGCATCTGATCGGATCTTCATCAAAATATATTTCCCTTCGTTCAATTCCAACCCAAATCCTTTGCCAACCTTCGCCAAGAGATCCAGATGGCGCTGCAATGCGTCCGGCTTGTCGGCAAGAAGCATCGTGTCGTCGGCATACAAGATGTCCCAGGTGACGAGATAGCTGTTGGTGCACGTTCCGGCGTTGTTGTTCATCTCGTTGTCCACGGCTTCCATCATCACAGACATGAGGATTATGAAAATGCACGGGGATAAAAGGGCAGCCCTGAGCAATGCCAGCATTTTGCGAACGTTGTGAGGATGTGTGTTTTGCCCTTCTCGCACAACAAACTTCCGCGCTGTGTATATACCTTGAATCGTATCGATCACAGCCGCATATATTTGGAATTGACGCAATGCGTGCAGCAACCCGTCGGGATTGATACGATCAAACGCCGTGCTCCAGTCTAGCAGAAGTATGAGCAATGCCCCATGCTTGTCTTCAAGTGTTGCGTCGATGGAGCGGCGTGCCAGAAACGAAGAGACCCTCTGAGAGTTATCGGTTATAAACTCTCAGCACTCGTGAAGAACAGTTGGTGAGGCTCTGGGTTGGGATGGAGATAGCATCGATGCACCCATGCAGAAATTCTAGGTGGCTCCAAGAGGGCCCAAGAGGACCGCGAGACGAATCCACATGCTCTCGGAGTTCCCCGAGAAGAGAAAGCATTCGAAAACGTGTGGGACATCGGCGATCTGGGGTTCTCTCGCCCTCTCGCGTCCGCAGGGGCCCCAAGGTGCCGCCAAGAGGCCCCCAAGAGGCCACAAGACGGCCCCAAGACGCCCTGAGACGGCCGAGGCGGCTCCTCCAGGGCACCCTGGAGGGCTCCAGGACGGCCCCAAGCCCTCCCCCCCCCAGAAGAGCACCGAGAGGACTCCGAGGCACCCCAAAACAACCCAATTAGAGCCCTAACCGAGAGAGCCCCAAGAGGGCCCCGAGAGGGCCACGAGAAGACCCCGCGGACCATCGCCAGATCAAAGTCCTAGACCCCGAAGGGGGCCACGTCCTAGGTGCAATCACCAACGCCAGAACCTAGGATCGTCCTCCCTCGGTGGACGCAGCCCCCGGTTTTATTGTTGATGTCCATGCCCAAGCCTCCAAATCGCAGTCCTCGTCGTCGGGGCTGCCTCCGTCTGCTCGTCGTCCTCCTCGTCCTCGTCTTCGCCGTCCTCGTCGTCGCCCTCGTCGTCGTCGTCCTCATCTTCTTCGGCGTCTTCGGCGTCCTCGTCGTCCTGGTCCTCGTCTCCGCCGTCCTCGGCGTCCTCGCCGTCGTCGTCCTCGGCGTCGAAGAAGACTCCGCGCGTGGGCGCCGCCTCCTCGCGCGGCCCCCCGCGGCCGGCTCGAAAGAGGACCTCGTCATGGAGCTCTGCCGGGCGCGCGGGGCCGACTGCGCGGTGGCGCCCTGCTGCAACGGCGGCATCGGGCGGGGCATCACGGAGGCCGCGGCGCTGCCGGCGTCGCCGCCGCCCCAGAGGGGTGGGGCGTCGCGCTGTGGACCACGGTCAATGGAGAGGAAGCATGTTGCGGAATCATTTCCAGATGTCCCAAGCATGGTATAAGCAGGTCTTAAACATGTTAAACACATGTTTTACACATGTGTCGAACAGGTTCCGACATTTTAGACACAGTTTTAATTCAATGATCGAATAGTTAGGGTGTCCATTGTCATGGCATCCACAAGCGTCGCGTGCCGTCGGACCGAGTTTCGAGAGGAGGGGGTCGACTCCAGAATTGATTTTCCCCAAAGTTGTTGTTTCGTCGAGTCTACGCGCGTTCGTAGGATTCCGCGGAGATCTGCGGGCCTGCGGCGTATAGTGCGAAATTTCGACGGACACATCAATCTTGGGGTGCATCAATTTTGTAGTCGATCTCGTACTCGAGAGGTCTTAGATCGAGGTCGGTTCGGGGAGGGTACTCTCATGTTCTTCGTGATTGCTGGATGTTTTTGTGCCTCCTGGGGGAGGGTACCCTCGAATGCTTTTCATTTTGGCCGGCGGAGGGACGTGCGCATTTTTCTCGGCAGGGACCTTCGAGGAACATCTGGGGCCATCTTGCGACAAAAAACGCGCACGACACCGCCAAGTACACGGGGAGTGGACGTCCGAGCGTTGGCAAGTTGGGTGTCGCGTAATGGGGGAGCGATGAAGGGGGGGGGCAGCGCGGCGGGCTGCAGGTAAGGGGCCCTGTAGGGCCCCCAAGAGGGGGCTTTTGGGTCCCAGAAGTGCACCTTTCTTCCCCACTTATTATCGCTCGGTATCGTTTAACTGATCCTCATCCCCATCCCCATCCCCTTCGGTATCCCCACCAACTTATTACCCCAGTTGGGGATACACCCCTCGAAACCCGAAGGGAACGACCTATATCCCCATCTAGGGGGGTACATCGGCCAGTGGGGCCCAGGCCACGCCGCTGGGGATGGGGATCGGCTTAACGATACTCAATCGCTCCTCCACGAAGCGAGTCCCAAGAGGAGGACAGGGTACCGATACCGCTGCCCTCGCCTCGTCTTTGCCTTCTCGGGCCTCCTGGGATGCCCTCGTCGCCACGAGAGCGCTCCCCAGGAGAGGTCTGGGGAGCACCGGTTTCGGCCCCTTGCGAGTTTCCCCAGTCTCGGCCGTTGCCGTCGTCGTCGGCCTCCCTCCTCAGGCCAGCAAGGGCGCAATCCCCCTGCTGGCGCCTCCCAAGATTGAAGATGGAGCTTCGAAGACGGAGTATATGGATCGAGGATGGAAGCACGAGGATCGAGGACGAGCTCTGTCTGGGATCGAGGCCAGAGGCTCTCGGACGTCTTTGGCAGCTGCCGGCGGCTCTGCAGCCTCGGGGAGCCTCCCAGCTGCTGCGCCTCGCCGGCGGCGCTCCCGGGGCTGCCCAGGTCGTCCCAACCGGCAGCTGGAGAGCCAAACTTACAAGTCGGGCCTGTCCCTCTACGGGAGGAATAATCAAAAATAGTCCCACAATAGTCTGGGGACGATTTTTCAGTATTCTTTATACGTTGTTGGTATTTTTTGGGTGTATGTTTTATTTGTTCCGCCCAAAACCCGCTTGTAGGAGGACACGCCCGACTCAAAGCCAAACCCTTTCGTCGCGGATGGAGGCCCGATGGCCCATCCCGCCCAAGAACATTCAGGAGGGGAAAACACACGGACACAAGTAATCGTCGACTCTCAGGAGAAAAAAAACAATATGGGAAGTCGGGGGGAAGACGAAAACCCAGAAATATGGAAACCTATGGGAAATCTTGCGATGTGTGTGTATCTATTTGTGTGTCCTTGGGCCCCTTCAGACATGTGGCTTCGCTATCGCGATCATATCGCTGATCTATCGGCGATGTGTCGCCGCTCCCAGCCCCCTGAGCCAGCACCCCCCCCTTGTAGTTTCCCCTCGCCTCCGCCGCCGTCGCTGCTTCAGATCTCTGGCGATCTGTTTTTTTCAATCCGGAGTTTGGCCTCGGGGGCCCGTTTTCAGGCGCCAGGGCCACCAAAGAAGGATCCCGGGCGAACACCTGGCCTCCCTGGGCCCCCGCGTTGAAAAAGCGTATCGTCGGGTGTCTGGATCTGTCGCCGCCGCCGCCGCTGTCGCCCGCGCCGTCGTCGTCGTGTGCCTCCTCCTTTGGTTTCCCCACCAACCTGCAGTGCAGGGTCCTCGTTTTGAATCAGCAGCAGCCCGCGTCTCCTTCCGCTGCTCCCTCTCCTTCCTGCCATGAAGTTCTTCAAATGGATTCGCCCTCCATCCATCCGTGTGAGAGCTGGAAGCGCCCAGCTCGCGTTGTCGACACGTCCTCTACTGAGCACGGCAGGAAAGAAGGCCGAGGGAGAAGAGGAGGACGAGGAGGAGGAAGAAGAGGAAGAGGAGGAAACACACCGAGGAAGAAGAGTAGTACAGGAAGACTGACAAGGAATGATCACGATGTGGGAGGAAAAAGAGGAGGCCAGGGAACATAAGAACGGCGAGGGGGGAGGGACGGGTGGGGGGATGGGCGAGAGAATGGGCCCAGACCTCAGACTTCCGCTGCAGTGTTTGTCATATATATATATATATATATATATATATATATATACACATGCACGAAACAGCTATTTCGTTTTTTTGTTCTCTCTCTCTCTCTCGTTGTGGGTATCCCGAGCTCTTCGCTTGGCACCGCTCGGGCGTGTGCAACTTTTGTTCCCCAGGCGAGGGCCATCGAGGACCGTCCAGGAGCCTCGAGCGAACACGACAGAACGAGAGCACGCGCGAGGTCGAACAAACAGTGCCACGGGGAGCGGGCGTCCGAGCGGTGGCGAGCTGCTCGCCCCGTTGCCGAGGGCCTGTTTCTTTCGCCCCGCTGGCCGCCTTCCTGCTGGCCCCCCAGGCAGGGCTCGTCTCGAGTCCTCCGATGCGCCTCGACCCGAGGTCTGTGGATTCCGATTCCGATTCGGTTCGGCTTCGGGTTCCGATCTGGGCTCCGAGTCCTCACCTGGAGGCAGACCGGGTTGCCGCTCTCCGCCGATTCAATTTTCCCGACTCGGTTGCCGATGTCCGCCGATCCGATCCATTTCGAGCGCCGACCCGACCTGTCGACTCGACCCTGGGGGCGCCCGCCCTGGGCCCGAGGCCAGTCCCTTGTCAGCTGCATGCGTCCGCGTCAGCAGCCGAGTGCGTCCGCGTCAGGAGTCTGGTTGTGCGGCGCTCCGAGGTGCCTCTTCTTGGCCCCGGCTCCGAGGCCCATCCGTTAAGCCCCCCAGGGAAGGATAGACAACATCTCAAGTCGGGCATGTCCATCTGCAGGAGGAATATTCGAACGTAGTTTAAACATAGTCGGGGGACGATTTGCTTGTATCGTTTCCGAGCATTGTTTTGGATGTTTTTTTTAGTTTTCGTCCAAATTCTGCCCGTAGCAGGACACGCCCGACCTAAACAAGATCACATCCCGCCTCCTTCCTTCCCATTCCTCTCAGGGGGAAGGGAGGACATCGATCCGCCGCCCCCTGGGACCCAGGCGATCGCAAACTTGGATCAAGGGGGCGTGGATTAGCGACGGGTCCCGTTCCCGTGGGGAAATCGCGGATTTCCGCCGCCGAGCGAGGCGGCACCGGCCGCATTTTGGGGAGGGCCCTCCCCCCGATCCATGGATTTGGCGACCGCGCGCCAAATCCATGGGAGGAGGAGGAGGAGGAGGAGGAGGAGGAGGAGGAGGAGGAGGAGGAGGAGGAGGATCCATGGATTTGGCGACCGCGCGCCAAATCCATGGAGATCGCTAGTCCATGTGTTGTGCGCCCCGACCCGGGACGCCCCCCCCCCTTTGTCAGATGGTGTCCAGGCATGGCCGCGGAGGCGCCCCAGGAGGTCCCACGGAAGAATGCGACCCACGATCCTCGATGTCCAAGGTGGAGGGATTCTCGGAAGGGCTTAGGCGGCCCGTCCTCCTCCTCTTCCTCTTCCTCCTCCGCCTCCTCCTCCTCCCTCTTTCGCCCTCCTCCTCCTCCTTCATCTCCTCCTCCTCCTCCTCCTCCTCCTCCTCCCTCCTCTTCTTCCTCCTCCTCCTCCTCATCCACCTCCTCCTCCTCCTAGGCCGCTAAGCTCACTTCCCCCCCGCCGATGCCGCGGCCCACGCGCGTGCGCGCGCCGAGGCACCCATGGAGGGGGAGGGCGCGACGGCGACCGCCGCTGCGGCGGCGCCGCAGGGAGGGCCCCGAGCGGCCCGCGGCGCGCTCTCGGGGGCAGGTGGAGCAGGGGGAGGAGAAACAGAAGCAGCAAACGGAGGAGCAGCAGCACACGATGCACATCATAGAGCACCAGCACGTGATTCTCATCGCCTGAAGCTCATAGGTTGGAACCCCTTCACCGCGCAGGGCGTTAACAGGTTGGAGGACATCAGTCAGGAGTTCAAACAATTCCACCTCCTCCTCCTTCCTGGGACCAAAATCCGTCAGAAGATGCACTCCCCGCACCACCACGAGTCCACCCACTCCCACCACTGGATCCACTTCGGGTGGGGGAGGGGGGCAATGAGCAACAGCTCAGCGGGTTGTAGTGTTGGCCTCCACAAGGGACGCTTCAGGACACAGGATATCGCTCGAATCGATTTTCCCCCTCCTGAGCTCCAAGGCCGCGCAGGTAGTCTGGATATTATTCAAGGATCCTTTCGGGTACGGTTAATTGTTGCTTACTTACCTCCGCGACCGTCGGCTAGCCATCAGATACGGCATTGGAAAACTACATGTAAGCGACTATTCAGCTGGATGACCACCCAGGCGTCGTCGGCACCTGCCCGTATTATCCCGATTTGTTTTGCGGACTTCAACACTGGACTCGGCCGCCAAGATGGCGTCGTTGTCGCAGATGAGAGTGTTGGCGAATACCAGGCCAGTACAGAATCGGACATCGGCCGCCTCGTCCACCGTACCCTTCTCGAGCAGCAGCGAGCCGCGGCCAACACTTTTTTCGACCTCGGCTACAGTTC